GAGAACCATTTATTTAAATCCCACTTGACAGGGAGGAATCTCTGATCCTATTTCTTTTCTTGAGTGTATGTGGCAAAAAAGAAGTCAGGCAAAGAGTACTAAAATTCACAACAGGCTTTTAAATGACATGTTCCATAATATCTTTGCCTAGCAGGCGTATGTACCCATGCTGAAGAACCCTGGGAGAATTAGGAGAAAAGATGCTATCAAATAAACCCTGTGGCAGTCGGACACTTGAAGCCAAAGCAATCTCAGCATTTACGTGTTTTGGTTGTTCAGTTTTATGGCCCTATTGTTCTTATTCTGCTGCAGTTTTTTATGTTGTTTTGTTTTTTTTTGCTTTTACATTTCCTTTTATGCATCTCTTTAGGTTAAATCCTTGATGCCAGCAAATGATTTGTGAAGAAATGCTTGAAACGTTAACTTTTGTCCTTGTAAATAAACCAGCGAGGATTTTATGATGGCCTTAAATCTAACAGTGCAATTTAAATCTCACTCTGGGATGAGATGAAGAGGACAAAGTTATTTTGGCAGTTTTAACATAAGTGTAATCCTTCAAAAGTTAACCCTCATGAGTTTACCTCCATCGCTTTGGAAGCGCACCCCTGCTATGCTGCCAAGAAGCCGGGCGCCACTTTAAGGTCATTTTCCCCATGTCTAATTTTACCCTTGGGTACGCTTGAGTAGAGCGTATGAGAGCAGCCATCATTTTAAACACTTGTTTCAGGCGCTATTTCTTTCTCAGTTTATGTGCCTCCGTTCTGAGGTGATGGAGTGCTAATGAACAGACAGGCAGATGCAATTTGCTTGAGGTCCTTATGTGGCTTTTTTGAAGGCCTGATGTTAAACACATTACTTTGCCTGAGCTCAATGTAAGGGAGATTGGAGCTCATGGCTAACAAATGGCCTGAATCATGAGGTTCATCAGGTGATCTAGTGTACTGTGGCAGATTCAATCAAGCGGCTGGGTGAAATGTTCTACTGAGACTAAGTGAGACCTAATGAGGTTTTATGAATGCAAATGCAATATACTGAACTTAAAGGTTCTCTTATAAAGTTTGTGCGTATGTATGGTCAATGTTGACTAGTCCTTATCCAGGTACATTTCTTTTACTTTTTCCCATAATAAAAGAAAGAATTTTGGTCAGCTGAATAAGGATTTAAAGTCTTTGTATGACTGCAGTCTAAGGGGAGCCAATCAACAGATCCAGGCTAAAGGAAATAACAAAGCCCAGCGCTGGAGGTGTCAGATCACACAAGAAAGAACAGCACTCTGTGGGACTTTTGTCACATGGTTCGCCCCCGATATTGCAGGTTGAGGCTGCCTGCCTTCTCAGCTCTTCTACCTCAGTTACCTCACTGGAGGAGCCAGCGAAGGTTCCTAGTTTCAGACAGAGGTCTCTTTTTTTCATCAATCTGTTATGTACTCTTTAAACTATTCTGACTCTAAAAGAATAGACAACAAATATGAAAATAACTCACTATTTAATGCCTGAATGATGGCTTGCTGGGGATGTGCCTAGTCAACCAGTGGCTTTTGCCCACAAGGCGAGGGCATTCTTCACACCTGTCTGCAAGGATAAGTGGTCTTGTCACAGGCAAAGCTAATCTGTTGCAACGCTCAGTCACACTCAATCCCCTGGTGGAACGCTGCGCTTGTCCTTGAATGTTTGCTGGCACTAGAAGCATACTTGGGCCGCTGATCGGTCTAAACATGGTGGAAAACATGTCAATGAGGAGTAGCGGCCTCTTGTCTTTTTAAAGACAGCTTAGAGGACTTTTGCCCTTTACAGTTAGCACTTTTGAAGACTTCTACTCTTAAAGGAACAAAAGCAAGCTTAAACGATATTGAATGTTGGTCTAGGTAATTAGTGGGAGAATGTGTGGCTTAATATTAAAACGTCACTTACAAGGAGAAAGGTGTTGATTCAATTTTTTTTTCTTGATACACAAATATGTCACAAAACAACAAAGGGAGCTATCAATTGCTCTGAGTCAGTCTTAAGTGCAACCACTGTCTTATTCTTTCATGAAAATTATACTTTTAAAGTAATCATATATTTTAACATCCTTATTCTGTAAACTATATGTTTCTTTGGAATGTGACTGGCAATAATTTGTAATAAGTAGAGGAATAAACATATTTTTGTTCAATCATGAAAAGGAGATGTTAGTAGATGAGACAAAGTGGTTACAACCAACATCAAATACCAGCAAAATGTGTTTTCAACATCTTTCTCTTTTGATGTAGTGAAGTAGATTTGGTCTGAAGACACTGCAATCTTAGAGTAGAAATGTTACTTGTCAAAAAATAATCTGAATAGATCAAAGGAGATGAATAATACATTATTTTAAAAGGCGCAGTATATGTCATTAAAGTATTTATTTTCTAGACATAGCTCTGTTTTAAAATTTAAAGAGTTGAAGTGTAGCCGATTAAATGAAAAAAGATCAAATTGAGACATGCAAAAAAATCATATTAATACAAATAATACCGTTTTTTTTTTAGGTAAAAACCATGCAATTAATGTAATAGATTCTGTTTCTAAAGCTTAAAAAATAAGTACTCCCAGTAGAATGGGGTTTTACTCACCTCACCGACCATAAGAGACACAAAACAAATATACTGTTTTATTTCATTAAAGCCAAAAAGGATAATGATATACTGTCCGAAATTTAAAGGCAACAAAGACTGAAGCAGACCAAGGGTAAAACTCACAAAATTGGTTCTAGGTCCCGAATTGAGATGGTCTTTTAATTCTGAAACAACATGCAGAGAAAGAACAACTCCTAAAATAGCTTTCTGCACTGAAGGGGTTTGCTGAAGATTAAATGAGGTGTTCTGTATGTATTCAGGGAAAGGCCCTTCAGTCTTCTCTTTACACTTGTATAAATCACACCCAGTGCAAATTTCTAAATACTCTGAAAGACTAAAGCTATTTGTGTTATACACATATTTTTGCTGCAGTGTTAAAGTAAAAGAAAAAAACAATCTGCTACTGTGTATTTAACAAAAAAATGTTATAAATACCCTACTACACTCCTCCAATCAGATCTTGGTCATACATTTTCACCAATTCTTACCAGGTCTAAAACTGGAGTCCTCTGGTAATTAAGAAAATCTAAAATAGTAACAAATTTGTTTCTACAGCTTTGATTACTTAAGCACATGTTGCATTTGGGCTAAGTAATCAGTTAAAATAACCTCCTACTGCTCCCACCTGCTGGACTTGCAATATGCGTCTCTTTCTTTATTAAGTGCTATAAACTTTGTACATCAAATGCAGTAGTTACAAATGATATGCATTATTGCTCCATTTCCAACCTTTTTACTCTTAGATCCCTGATTTGTTTTTTCTCCATAACCTCATTGCACCTTTTGGGTCCTCATGAGCAGAACTTCCTGCTATAATTAAATAATTAAGAATTCAGTTTGTTGTTTTGAGGAAGCTTGCTGAGCTTTGCTCACAGGAACAAGGTGCCTTCTGGACTCTCAACATCTACATTCAACAGTGACTTTAAGAATATCGTTTCCTCCTAGGCTAAGAGTTAATTACTGCCTGTCTGTGTGTGGGGAGACATGACCTGTATTATTCACTATGTGTTTTGCAATTTGCCTACAAGCTATATTGTGGTAGCATTGTTGTGGTTAAATTAACTGTGCATCCAAGTTATCTAAATTAATATATAGGTGATTTAATTATCTTGGCATATTTAAGTTATTTATTCTTTTTATAGGGTTGCCATTTTTTATTAGACTTTTTTTGGAGGGGGATCAACAATGCTCTAAGCTCAGTAATTGTTTTTCTGAGATTCTAGTGGGTCTTCGGGTAATAATGACATAAAACAAAATATGGACTATGGCATTAGTTATGAGAGTAATTCTCATCATTATAGTAAACGCTGTTGCCTTTATTTCACTGTCTAATTTCAATGTCTTACTTATAGGAGCACCTTACACACCTTACACCAGTTTTTGAAATGTTGTCTCATAACTACACATTTCAGTGTATTATATGGAGTAAATTTTACTCTCTTTACAGTAGCCTCATTTCTGTCCTGTTCATTTTTTCATAAAAAATTAAACATTTTAAGAATTTAAGAGTTTAAGAATTTTAAGAAATTTAGAGTGTGGCATGCATATGTACTCAATCACTTGTATGTAGACATGTCTTGTTCTACCTATTACCTTTAGAGGTAACCTGTCGACAGGGCCATCTTAATTGAATTTGGCATAAATGTTGTTTTTCTTTTTTGTATGATAACATTATAAAGCAAACAAAAGAGATCACAGATAAATTTGTGAATTAGTTAAGTACAATCGGGTAAAAGAAAAATATGCTTCCACATTTTGGTGCTTAATAAATAATTCTAAATTTAACAGTTTAACAAAAAAGCAAACTTACAAAGGCTTTCCAGCTACTCAGACAGAGAATCGGACCGGAATGATAGAGGCAGACTTAAAGCATCCTGGCACTATGGATTGGTCCGGCGAGGTGGTAAAAATGACTAAATGGACAAAAAAAAAAATAACACTCTAGATGTGCAAAGCTGGTGCAGACACATCCCCAAAAGTCTTGGGAGTTGTAATTGTAGCAAAAGATGAGTGTACATTTTGTTCAGCCCTGAGAACTAAATAAAGATGCATGTCATCATTATTTGTAAAAATGTTGAAAACTGTTTCCTTTATCCTGCAGCTCATTGTAGCCTATTACTTGTGTCTCATGTAATTTCCATATAATATATCAAAACTTGGGGTTTTTTTCTGATAACTTTCATGATGGTAAAGGATAGTGAACATTTTGCAATGTAATGTACTATTGCATCTCAAACATTATCTCTGCTGTATTATATAGTCATAATCAATGTGCTGGATGCAATTATTTTAAATAAGTAATTTACAGTTGTGTACTGCCCTAACGTATGTTAGCAATAATAGAATTTTTAAGCTTACAGCTTAAAGCATATTTGGTAACTATATGTATTTGTTTTACCTGCAGCCAGTCCCACAGGATCCGGACCAAAAGGTTACCCTGGCACATCTGAGGTCTTCGGCGAGTCCAGCAGCACAACGGGGATGGTTGTTGGCATCGTAGCAGCAGCCGCATTGTGTATCCTCATTCTACTTTATGCCATGTACAAGTACCGTAACAGAGACGAAGGATCGTATCATGTGGATGAGAGCCGCAATTACATCAGCAACTCAGCACAATCCAATGGCACAGTAGTCAAAGAGAAACCCATCAACAACCCGAAAACCTCCAGCAAGAATAAAAAGAACAAGGACAAAGAGTACTACGTGTGACTGAGGAACATCTGGTCTTTTCTAGACCAGCGTCTGTCCTAAAGATTGATAAGGACATAAACATGTGTACAGGATAATACCGAAGATGAACAATAGTTAGTATTTTTTTTTCTAACAAGACAGTGCTCTACAAAATAAACTGAAGATAAAAATATACATTTCTTTACTCTTAAGAACTTCAAACAAACAGGAAATACTGTCCAGAAAAAGACTTATAGGAAAATGGACTACCTAATATCTTATGTGTCGACCAACAATGATAATCCACATGTGACTTGTTCTTGGGCCAGAATATTGCCTCCCTTTCTTCATGTTTCTAGGAACAGAAGAGTACAGATGCACATTGCAGATGGAGATTCAGCATTACAAACTCTGTATTCTCGAGAAAATGGCACACTACATAAATTAATACATACCATAAATATGCTAAACATTGACTGTAGAAGGGAGAGTAAAGGAAAAAATTGGATTTTCAGGCCAAAGGACTCTCTGAAAAGTCTTTTAAAGACTTTTTCATGTCACTGAGCTGTTGCAGTGTAAAGATTGGGACAGATGGGCATTTCTCTTTAAATACACTTATTTAAAGGAACTGTTCTGTTAGAAAGTGGAGGCCTTCATTTTCCATGCTGTATTGTGATATTAAAGGGAGGACATTTCTGCTAGATTCCTGAGGATCTGGGAAATGATTATCACCTGGGAGCCATGCACGCAAAATTATCTTATTACAGTACTTATGTTTATAAACAGTACAACCACATCTATTTGTGCTTTCTGGACTGTGACAAAGTGGTGTTTTATAGCCTGTTGTAAAGATAATGCAAAATATAACTGCTCCTCAACCATTTTGGAATAAAATAAGAAATTAAAAAAACATATGTGTTAATAGGTGTTGCTAGACATAGAATATTTTATGAGGACATCTTTTTCTCTCAGTTGAATAATAATTTGAAATATCCTTGTTTTTACATGTGTTCCTATATAGTTTTTATACAAATGCCAACCTGAGATAGATCATTCTGGACCAGTAATAGCCTATCCATTCCCCAAAAAACCCACACGACACTGACAGTGGAATCTAGTGTGGATCTCTTTCAAAGGAATCACTGCCTTTTTTCTCCATCCTAATTTAGATTAATAAAAATGAACAGGAATATGAGTGATGATAAAGATTAGAATAAATAAACATGTGTGTCTGTTTTTTTTTTTTGTCTAAGTAATGCTAAACAGTGGACGATGTGTGCCTGGGCAACCCCAAAATCCTGCAGAGAATAGCTCAAATAAGTCTCCATTTCAACTGTTCTGTGTTTGTTCTGTCATTCTGTCTGTCATATCTGCTTTCCAGAGACCTGTACTTGGATTGAGTATGAGGAAAAATGACCATGAACTATAAATGATGATTATTAATTCTCTTTGTTTGCTGCTCCTTTGTTTAATTTCAGATATTTTCTTTTCAAATGTGTTTCCTGTACTCCCAAGTGAAAAAAAAAAGTCTTATCGAAACTAGTTTTCAGAAGCGAATTAATAAAATATTACTTCACTATTTCTAGTGAACTTAAAACTATTCTGCTGACAACCAGCATGACTACAGGATCTCTGATTAGACTTGTTCCAATTCAAGATTTTGCTTCTGGTTTTGTGATAATATCTGGATCATTGTGTTGTATGAGGGCATACCACTGCTAAAATGTGTGTCCATACCTCCTACTGTATTTATATTTCAAAGATTTTTAGTTAGAAACTTTTCAACATAATGATCAGGAGGATGCTGCTAATATGGCTATGATAACATTGAGCTGTTAAATTGTTTAAAGAATGGAAAGGGAATTATGTTTTGTTTGTCTGGTTTGCTTTTACTATTGCCTCTTGTCCAGGTCGACTAGTTCTCAATAGGTTCACCTGGTTAAATAATCTGAACACCAAAAGTATATGGAGGGTTACATTGAACCGTTGAATAAAAATCATTCATTACTCTTAAATCAACTGGATGACTGCAGCCCTGTGGTATACTGGTATTTTCTCATGTTTTCAGCTTCTAAACTCAACCACATATGCTCATCAGGCCCCCGAGATTTGGTAGGCTTATTTCTATATACCTTCACAGCATCTGATTTTTCTTTCATTTTTTTAACTTGTAGCCTTCAGTCTTAACTCAAGTGACACCACTTGACATCGAAATCCAGTTAGAAAACTTTTAACAGTTTTTCTTTTTTTTATGTGACACATTTCAAACTTGGGGTTTTAGTCTGTTAGACATGTAAACAGATTCTGAAGTGTAAAATCGGAAGGCTGGGGCTCTTTGAGCCAGTTTATCTGTCAGATTTCAACTCCTAATGTTACATGTATTGACGGCATCCATTATGTGTCAACCTGACAGAAAAAATAAAGTAAGATATTTACCCTAGAGAGAAAGAAATCTACCACTGTAGCTGGATCAAAAACATCCTCACAACACAGTTATTCTTTAAAAAGATTTTTTTTGTTCTGGTGAAACTGGTAATTATTCTAAATCTGAGACACAACGCACAAAAAAAATACATTTGTAATCAAAATAACTGAAGATTAATGCCAGAGTTAGGCAAAATAGTAGCCAAAGTAAAAACACATTACCCTATGCAACAAATAGGATCAATGTATGGCAATATGGCCACTGTAAACATGGCAGTAATATAATGGGTTAAAACCATTTTTTTTTTCAACTGACTAACTAAAAAGTGTTGTAATATGGAAAGTAAAGCCACTTATTATACTGTAGCAGTGAAAAATATGCCTCTGTTGCACTTCAAAAGGGTTCAATTCAATTCAGCTTCAATTTCACTTAGAAAATACTTTTTTGATCCCAAAAGAAAAATAAATGTTACAACTTTTTTTTTTTTTTTAAGGAGATGATGGTGGCTGTAGGCTGGGAGGATCGTCTGCAGTGGTATGTCTTGAACAAAGTCTGAAGAAGCCTTTCAGAAACCAAGATTCATCAAACATAGACTGGGAGTTACAATGCACAATCTTATTAGCAAAGGGAAAGAACTTCTATAGAACTACAGCAAAATATAATAAAAATATAAATTACTTGACATTACAGCACTTTGTTTCCTAATTTTTAAGAAGACAAGATGATGCAACACACTTGTAAAGTGTTCCCCTTCTGTGAAAAATACTGCACAAATTAAATTCAAAATGTGCATATACTTGTTAGGTCAGCTATTCAGTTTCTCAGTTTATTATAATTATAGTATTATAATTATCTTTCTATGGGTACTCTGTCATGTTTCTTAACTGAAAGGACCTGAATGCATGCTAACCAGTGGGTGAAAGCATAACCGGTGTAATAGATATTTTATATATATATATATATATATATATATATATATATATATATATATATATATATATATATATATATATATATATATATATATATATATATATATATATATATATATATATATATATATATATAAGAAAAACTAATATAGGAAATGAAACAATAGTGACAGAGGCAGAGGAGTTCAGCAGGCAACAATTAGATTAAAGAAGGTTGAATACTGTTGAGGTAAGTTTATTCACATAGAAATAAGAGGATATTTAAGAGGGTAAAGCAGAACAGCTTGGAAAGAATATTAGCAAGAAACTGAGGAAAGTGACAGGTAAACGAAATGCACAGTGTACTAAGTGGACACAAAAAGGATCGTCCTTATCCGGAGGAAAAGACTGATGCTAACTTAACAGTCCTCTGTGAAATGCTCAACAAGTTTAACACAAGTTTAAATTAGTTTTGTTTGACTGCACTGGTCCATTGATAGAATTTACTCCTCTTGTATGAGCATTTTTCAAAATTGTGATTGACTTGGCAGCAATCCTTCACTGTGAGCATGCATGTAGCAAAATTAGAGAGAAAAAGTCTCATTTAACAGGAAGAAACTTCTGTCAGGAAAAAAAATGTGAAGAAACCTCCAGCACAAGAAAGAACCATGAGATTCAATACACAAAAATCAATTGATATGGAAATGGCTAGTGAAGATGTCACTCATTCAGGACATGTGGACTTCAAAAAGTTAAATCAGAATCAGAACACCAGAAGTACAGTTTTGCAGTTGAAAATGTTCTAAAGACATAAACACAGCCCAGAGGGACATTTAATTAAACACACACAGAAGAGACAGACTTGGATGCCCAACTTAAGAACAAGATGTAAAGTCGGGGTTTCTGTTTTTCACCGAAAATGTCATGGTTTAGATTCAGTTTAAGTTTTCTTTCTGAGTTTTCGTTGGTTTTATTTCCATTTTGTGTTGTTTTCTGGTTATATTATTTCTTGTCTTCCTCCTTGGTTCCCCATCTGCCCACCCTGGTGGGTTTTTTTTGGGGGGGGGGGTTGGACTTTTTAGGGCTTCTAGTATCCACCATTAAGTGAGGAGTACTATCATGGTTTTGGTTCTGCTTAAGTTTTCTTTTTGAGTTTTCATTGGTTTCATTTCCATTTTGTGTTGTTTACTGGTTGTATTTGAGTTTTTATGTATTTCTTGTTTACCCTCTGTTGCCCCCTTTTGTCAGTCTCCTTACCCTAGCGCTCTTCTTCCAACCACACCTGCACCTCGTCTGCTGATTGGCCCAGTCCTTGTTCAGTCTCCCATTTTCCCTCTTGTGCAGTTTCTAATGGCTGGTTTCTCGTTGCTCCTTGCTGTTTATGAATATTTTCCCTGACGTCTCCTGTTTTTTTGTTTTTTCTGTATTTTGTTCTTTTTGGATTTTTGCCTCAGTTGCCACCTTTTGGATTATTCAATCTCCAAGAAACCACTTCAGCTTCTGTCTCAGCATTTCAGTCATCTTCAAACCTCCACACAATCTGAGAAAAGGATGCCTTGCTAACATAATGGGACTAATGCAAAACAGGTTCAACTAATCAGTGTTACCTTGCACATAAGCACAGCATGCAGCCAAGAGTCCATTAAGTAACATGATGAAACATGAACACGCACAATATTTCATTGGTAGAAGCCTATCAGGAATTCAGAAATTTAAATGAAAAAAAGGGAAATATCTCTGCCATCAGTAAAACTAGGGGAAGAGGTGTGCAGGCCATTGCTGATAGACTGAATATGTAAATGTTACCTTTTTCATTATACACAGTTTTTATGGGACATATCCAAATTAAATGAGATATTAAACCATTATCTTTTAGGTAAGTGTTAGCCCATAGTCTTGTGATGAACAGGTAAATGATATTTGTGAAAATTAGAGATTTCAAACTTATCACATTAGTTTTATTATAAGAAGGAAACCAATATACAAACAGGAATAAAACAAATTTAACAAAGACTGAGGAGGACCTCCCCCACCTGACTTTGCTTACTGGCAAAGAAAGACTTAGGGCATAATTTGAGCTGTTCTGTTGGAGAACTGAGGTCCAATTCAAAGCAGTAAAGTAAATTAATCCTTCTTTAAAAAATAATCAGTTCCATTCATGGAGATATATGTCTGGGAAGATAAGAGGTTCATTTTAATCCATGACAAAACAAGGTACTTTGCAACCCTCCATTAAACGGACAGGACATCTCTAAAATACATGCTTAAGTGTGAGGATGCCTTTAAAAAGTGAGGGCAATTTTTTAATGGAAAAGCCAAAGTATTAACATATTTAAATATTTGAATACATTATTTATGAATTCCATGTTATTCGAGTCTAAAGGCTGATTTATATTTCGATACCAGGTCAGGTAACCGTAACTCTGCTGCTCCTCTCCCAAATTGTAACTGACCGCAGACAGTGCTGCAGACAGGAGGCCGGCTTGTTTTGTTTTTATGACCGAAAATGTGGAAAACAACTCGTGAAGTTGGACCAGCTAGAAGATTGAGGTGTGCAAGAATGCTGGCACCCTTTTTGTACTTGGATCCCTGCTCTTTTTGGCACACTTTCTCATTGCCTTGGCCATATATATAGAGCCACAGTTTTAGCACAGACACGCTTCAATATTGAGCATAAATCAAAAATGTCTGAGTCAAGCTCATTGCGACACACTGCTGCTGGAGTATAACCAGCCCTTAAAGCTGAAGTCTGTAAGTTTTTAAAAATCCCTTTTTTGTCATATTGGCTAAAACTGTCCTTATGCCCAGACAGCAGTACATGTGATATGTAACCTGTGAAAAAAACTGCTTCAATTGGTACCGCCTACTGCCTGTATTTCAATCTGGAAAGAATAATTCGGGACGAGTCAAAACAACCCATCACAGCAGAGGAGCGTCTGATGGAGTGTCAATCACAGCTCACACACACTGAATCCTGCCCCCCCCCCTTTGTGGTCGCATGCGGTAGCCGCGCAGATGCTGTGAGAGGGGTGGAGCTTGGAGGTGGGGCATGAGTGAAGCAGAGAGGGTGGGGGAGTGGCGTGAAACATGTTTTTCTTCAAATTTTCAGTCG